GCTACCCCTGGGTTCTGCTCAAGATCTGCCCCACCTGGAGTTCTTGTGAGGACATGTTCTGGGCTGGGGTGGAGTATCTCAAGTACTCACCCACGGAGTTACGGATACCCCATGAAGATCAGCTGCTGTCCCGCATCCTGGACCAGCGTGATCTTTGTGTTCGGTTTGCCCATATGGTCAGCAAGCGCATGCTGCCAAGGGACATCCTGAAGCACGCGGCTTCCAGCGCTCACGATGAGCGCGGGTACGGAGTGAATTCAACGTCCGTACCCCGTTCGGGCAAGACGCCCCAGACTACTTATGAAGCTGCCGCCGCTTCTATTCCCAGATTGCGACAGCCTTCGAGCGGTCAATCAGGAGCCGTTCAATCGGTTCCCACGAGTTATCGGAGTGGGCATAACCCCTTCACTTCACGAGGAGCTGTAGCTTACCGCGACGCCGTTGCTCCTGGAGGATCCGCTCCACGTGGAAGTGGGCTTCTCCATTCCGGTCAAGCAGGGGCGGAGGTGCCCTCGTACGAGTACGAGTACTCGGCGCCTCCCGAACGCCACGCTCGTCCGAGTGCTTCTCCTGCGGGTCCGACACAGGGCCCTGAGGTTGACCGCCTCCGTCAACTTGTCCTCGTGCTTGAGATTGCACTTGGCCTTGGGACTGGCGGTGATGCTGCCGCCCAGGCCGGGAATCAGGGCGAGCTCGCTCGTCTTGCGGGCTGCCTAGACCTGTTGGAGCATGAGGTCGCGAGCCTGCATCTGCGGGTGGACCGACGGGCCTCTTCGTCCGATCTGGACGAGGCCTTCCGCATGATCTGACGGATCGAGGCTCTGTTACCACGTCCGGAGCCGCCATCGACGCACTCCTAGACGTACGCGTATGGTGCGTACCCGGCGTACTCAACGTACTCGGCGTACTCGGCGATGGCTCCGGGGTCCGTTCGTACGGAGCCCCTCCGGCGTACGGTCATGACCGCAGCTTTGCCGTTCAGACCGAGGCTTGGGTGCCTGCTCCGACGCCCTCGTCGACGTCTGTGTCGATCCTCGCTTCGATGAGCTGGGTCAAGGGGGGTCTGCGAGTCAGCAACCCCCTGCGGATCAAAGTACCGCTTAAGACGTCCAACATAGAACGTCGGGTGCGTCGTCATTGACTAGGCAGGTCGATGGTGTACGTCTGGCCAGGACTGCAAATGGTCCGATGAAGCGGTGCTTCAGCTTGCTGCTACCGACAGAGCTGACAGTGTCAAGAGGTAGGTTCCTCGTGTCTAGCAACACTAAGTCCCCCACTTTAAATACACTTAAGTTTCCTCTTCCATGTTTGTCTGAGTACTCCTTTTGTCTATCCCGGGCCGCTGACATGGCATCGCGGACCCTGCTGACAACGCTCAGCTTGGTATCCATAAAGGATTTCACTTGTATCCGCAGAGAAACTGGTCTCACATCCGAGACCTGGGAGGAAAGGGCTTTCCGAGCCTCTTCCCCACTTAGAATAGAGGGGTCAGTGTCTCCTCGAAGAGTGAGAGGCACTCTGGGGTGACGGAAGCCGTTCAAGTAGAGCGGCGTGAGCTCCGTGGACGCGTGCATCGCGTTGTTGAGGGCAAACTCAACAACTAGAAGCTGCGTCGACCACGTACGTGTCGCTGCCGCGCACACACTGCGCAGAGTGTCCTCGAGCACTCGATTGACGCGCTCTGTCTGGCCGTCTGTCTGTCTGTGGATGGTCCGCTGTGAACATCTGCAGATGAGTTCCCAGTAAAGGAAACAGTGTTTTCCAAAACGCAGCCGTCAACCGCGGGTCTCGGTCCGTGCCAATCGTCTCCGGGAGACCGTGATAGCGGAACACGCCATCGACGAACAGCCGTGCGGTTTGTTCGCCCGTAACAGTGACGGGAACCGGAGCAAGATGGTACATCTTGCTCAGCCGACACACGAGCACCAAAAATCCGGTGTTGTCGTGTCCGTCGGCGGGAAGCCCAAAGATGAAGTCAAGACTCATCGACTTCCAACAGTCAGCCGGTACGGGTACGGACAGGCTCTGTAGTGGAGCCGAAGAGGGCCCTGCGAGTTTGATTCGCTGACATGTTTCACATGTCTTCACGTATCGGACGACCCACTTGTACATGTGGGTCCACCAGAAGGCCTGAGAGACCGACAGGAAGGTCTTCTCGCGGCCCAAGTGGCCGCTGGAGGGCCGGTCGTGCGCCTCCACGAGGATATCGAGCTTCAGATCCTCGTCGTTAAGTACGACCACCCGTGGAGGTTCATTGGGCTCCACCCGGTAATAGAGGAGGCCATCCTTCAACTCATATCGGTGGAGCCGGGAGCGCTGTCGCGACGAAAGCCAGTCCGACTTCGCGCTCGTTCCTGCAGTGGGGAACTTGACGATACGCGCGACAGCCTCATCGTCCCGATACGCCATGCGTATCCGATCATATAGGTCCGTTGTCACCCGTGTGATGTGGGCCAACTCGTTGTCTGGACGCCGAGAGAGGGCGTCCGCAAGCACGTTGAGCTTGCCATGCTTGTACTCGACGCGGAAGTTGTACTCCGCGAAGAAGGACAGCCACCTCGCCATCCGTTGGAAGAGGTGAGGCGAATTTGTCGCCGTCATTAAGGATGCGTGATCTGTGTAGATCACGAAGGGCCGGGTCCCAGAAGGTGAACCAGAAACTTCACAAGGGCATACTTCATTGCCAGAAGCTCCTTGTCGTGGACAGGGTAGTTCCGTTCGGCGGCTTTGAGCTGCCTGGACTGGAACGAGATGACTCGTTCATGTCCGGCCGTGTCGG